ATTAGTATAAAGATGTTTACTGCACCATTATCTGTAATTTTGAAACCTAATTCCCAACTAGAGAATGGTTAAGAAACCTAAAAAAAGAAAAGTTGAAGAAAAAAACCTAAACACAAAATAACACATCCAGTCACTAAAACTACGTAAAAATGAAAAGGTAAAAAGCCAAAATAAGAATTGGAATTAAGGTAAAATCATGATTAAACATTAACAGTGTGGTTACATTGTTCTAAGACGGGGGGAAAACCACCTTCTGAAACACATATGACAAAGACAGAATAAATTTTGAAACCCAAACAAATCCATTCTTTACCCGCCCAAAAGTCAAAGACGAAGAAATATTGTATTATTTAAAGCAGACGAGAATTTCTACTTTCAAAAATATTTTCCTATCTCCAAACAAGGCAAACCCAATGTGCATTTTCTTTCTTCACCCTCAGTCCCAGAACTTATTGTAATGGCCGATACACTCCAACACAAGTGAGGACACTTGAGAAATAATTGGTTTATGAAGAACCCAGTTAACGGTGATTCAAATGGAAAGAATTCTACGAGTACATTAACTAAAGACCTGCACAAGAATAAAACTTCACATTATATGAACCCAGTACATCAAATAAAACTTCACAGATGTATCAAAAAGAGGGCTACAACTTACAAATTGTAAAAGTAAAAGAACTTAAAGCCTAAAGAGAGCCTATGCAGGTTAAAAGCTTAGTTTTAATTCTTATTTGAACGAGTTGCACCTATCTGCCAGGTTTCTATCTGATACCTAAGAAGGGAAAAATCAATGCATCCTTTTGTTAAAAAATTATATTTAAACTTTTTCCATTTGTCACTATGGATGCCACCGAGAAAGGGAAGCTTAAGTGACAGAATCCCGAGTGGACAGAGTGGGGGAAACGGGCACTTCATGTGAACTACTGTTAGCTGGATGCTAGAGAGCTCCCGTCGGTAGGCTGTCCGGGGAGAGGGGGGTAGGGCAGGAGTCGGAAAACCAACGAAGGCAGCAGCACTCCGGGAGAATCAGTGCCGTTTCATCTAAAACGGATCGCTGAAAACCCGTTTCCAACCAGAAAACTCCGTGCCTGGGGGGCGGGGGAATCCCTAGCCCCACCTTCGCCCGCGCAGGACGCCCGTTTCT